CCATCTCAGCTTATCTCGTCCCATCCATCCAATTGCAATTATATGCTAGTGACCTTGAATCACTGCTGGGGAACCGAGGTTAGCCCAACTATCAGAGTTTTGGGTTTCGGAACTGGCATATCGAATCCGAAGGAATGATCCGTGCTCTGAAGTGGAATCTCTGCGACTAATGCTGTGATTAGCATCTGCGTTGACAAACACAGTGAGCGGTCCCAAGGCGAAGATCCTGCGTTTCAGTTTCTTGAGTTTTTCACGTCTTCAGAGCAGGGAACGGAGACCTGGAACATGGAACCCCACCCAAGATGAATAATTATGGGTGATCTTTATGCTAGCACCGGCTCCTTGCTGGGACCGTTAATGCTCAAGTTGAGTCGCGGGGTTCCAGGGGTTTTACGGGGTACGGGTATGGGTTCCGGGGCTCGGGCTCGGGCTCGGGAGGGTTACCTGCGGCGTTTCCTTTGGCATTCCTGAAATTTCCTTCCTTCACCTTCAATTGATGCGCTCGAGTCGCGCTTTGTTAGCAGATATATTCACGCGTATTCCGCCGAAACTCGCTAATGGTCACAGCAAGTCGTCCGATGCGATACGATCCGAACCGAGCAGATCCGAGCCGAGACCATGTTTCACCTTGGTCCCCGCCTGTGTTATTAATGATGGAAATTTGAAAATACAGAAGGTTCAATAATTGCAACATCATTGGGTCTTCGATTTCTCAACCTTCGGCTGACTTTTGTCCCCGGCCGTAAACAAATTGCCAGGCATTTCGCCACATTTTCCGTGTCCCTATATCAGCTAACTATATCCCGGGCCAGAAACACACGCGCGTCCCTGAGCATCTCACCCGAGAGATATATATCCGCATCTCGAAAATATGCCTTTATGGACTCCATGGCCTACCTACTATCTACGATCCGGAGAGATCCGATCGGCAGCACTGCGTTTATATTGCAGCAATTTCGAATCAATTGAATAGTTTCCACGAATGCACACAAAGGCCATAAAACGCGTCGCGTGGTGAAGGCGCAGATACAGATACGCAAACTATGAGATATTGCAACCGGGGAAGGACAAACTTCTGCTTTTTCAGCATCACCTTCACTTGCCCGTTGGCTGTTGCTCGTTGCCTGTTTGCCTGCTTTATTGGCCTTTTTGTCATCGTAATTCACGTGTAAAACATGCCGAATGCCCCTTCCCTTTTGGCCATTTCCCCTCAATAGTCTCTACCCTCTACAGTCTACCAAAACCGGACTCGAAGATTGCGCGTGCGCACCTCTCCATTTGTTTACATTGCGCGCACGCCCTTCCTCGGGGACTCAGGACTTCCTTTTTAGAGGCGTACGCCCGGAATTCGGAATTCGGAATCAAGTAATGGGCAAACAAATGTTGGGTGACGGTCCCATTGTCGATTCCCCTGAATTCTCGGCGCACGAATCAAGTTCTTTTAACACTTGCCAGCGAAACTAAAATGGTAAGGGTGATGGCTACATTACTATAATGATATATAATATCACTTTCAGCTTATATATTTCTTCATTCATTAGGTTGATTATTCCATAAGCATTGAATTTCGTTTTAAAAAAGTTGAAAAATCACAGCAAACCCTCTTAAAGATTACCACAATCACTATCAACCAACATTCCACAATCTCCTAGTTCAGTGCACAACTTTGATTAGAGGCTATTCAAATGGTTGCTTATCACCTGCAATCACAGCCCTCGAGTGGGTGGACAAGTTGCAGTTAAGCTCCCGTCTGCATGTTTGTTGCCGTTAAGCTCCCGACCAGAAGAGCTTCTTCAAGAACAAACCCCACGATAAGCTATCGACGATTGTCTGCCTGTGGAGCAGCTTATATCAGCTGAAAACCCTCGACGAGCTACCACAAGTGGGACCCAAGCCCAAAACCAAAACCAAAAACCCAACCTAAACCCAATTCAAGTAGCTCGTGCAGTTCACCTTAATGCGCCCCTCGGCAGCGGCATTCAACGTTCAACATTCGGCACTCGACGGGGGACAGGAAACTGCAGCTCCAAGTGACCGCCACTGCAACTGCATTTCGGACTCGAGATTGGCTAGTTATCTGCTGTCAGTCCATGGCCGTCGGTCCTCCTCAGTTCCTCCGTCCAGCAGATAGCTACCCGTCATTGTCCGGAGGCACGAGTTCGACCAGTTGCTATGGAAAGGTGTGCACTGAGAGAAAGTAGAGGTGTTTCCCACTTCTATAATAAGAAATGTTTTTGGAAATTATTTTAAATTTATAACATTATTTTTCCCAGTGCATTGTTTGCCTTTGACCGGACGTTAATTGGATCACTGCTGGACCCCAGTAGGACCTACTCCCGGTCCCAATCTTGGCAGCTGTCTGCTGGCCGACGCCCGCTGGGCACACATGTCCTGCGCAGTGTCCACCCATGTCCTGTGCCCTCCTTTGATTGCCTACTAATCCTGGCCGTCGATGCTCAGGCGACAATCGAAGTAAACAGCCAGACAAATGGGCAAACAAATGAGCCGGGGCGTGTGTCCTCAAACGAGCCAAATTGGATCATAACTGCTGAAATGCTAAAATGGTAAAATGCTGAAATCTGTGCAAACATCGCTCTAATTAAGTCCTGCGGAGAGGGCCCATGGAAAAGGACCTCGCTCCAAATAGCCGGCCATTAAAGCCGGACAATGTGGGCGCGTGTTTTCTGAATGGCGTCGCAAGAGCATCGACTTGGATCAAGAATTAATTATTTGGGGGAAATAACCGCCTCGGGGGAAGGTTCTGACGTCAGCTGGTTTCTAAAAACGCCATAAATCAGTCCTTTCTTCTAGAGAAAAAACTAGGGGAAGATTTGTATTTACCATAAAATTAAGATGTATCAAGGTTAATATAAATATAAAATTAAACTTAAGTTCCATTTCAATTTGTGGACTTGAGCTATCCTTTGGATGCTAGTTATTGGAAATTATTAAAGTGATAATATTAGTCCGAAAACTAACGCAGTTCTACAATCTGCATAAAAAATATTTTAAAAACTGAAAGAAAAAATCGAAAACAAAACAAAAAGTCAACAACTTTCAGATAATCAGATATTATTCAAAGAGTGTGTGTACTTTGGGGACCAAAGGCCGGGGAGTTCGGAGTGGGCTCGCGTCACAGAGGGCCTTGGGAACGATCGATCGAAGCCAGGCTTGCGATAAGCGAAGACCAGAAGTGCCCAAAGTGTGTGGGGCGTTTCCCATGTGTATTTGACCCTCCATATTGCCCAGATTCCAGAACCTATTCCCCAACAGAAACCGAAACGACAAACAACCCGTTGGACGCAGTATCAGCAGTCTGGGGGCGAAACTACTGATCGAAGCCACTCACAGCCACCAGAATCAGCACCACACCATTCGGATATAATTGGTCCCATGGGCACCTACTTATCGTCCGGAATGTTCGTTTTTAATTGCCCTTTTTGTCGAAATACTCGTACAATTTGCCCACAGCATGGCTTTTGTTGAATTTAACACACTTTTTTATCGACGAAAAGAGGAACACTTAGCGAGAAATCACTTAGCGTTAACTGGCTGTTATCAAGTGCGAGAGAGTGTTTCGCCCAGAGCCAATCGGCATCGAAAGGGCCTGGGAAGTGGGTCGATATAACGCCCACTCACATAAGTTGCTATGGCACTCTATTCACAGCTCCCCAACCACCCAACATTAACATTCTTTTTACATTTTCCAACGATTTTACATCATTGAACGAGTCCAACCCAATTAATGCTGCAAGCAAATTCATTATCAGCCCTAAAAAATTTTACACAATAAGGTTTTTATGTTGTATTCCAGATATTTTACAATCTTTTGGTTAAACAAAGTAACTTTTTAAAAATCGGATTAAATTGTTTTCGAAAATCTTAACTTAATCCAAAAAACAGTCAACCAAATGCTTATTAATCCTACAAACTATTAAACCTAACACCTAAAAGTTCTTTTGGAATTATTCTCTGAGTGCATTTCTAGGCAGGGCGGGGCACTTCAAATTACTGCCACTAATCTTGCGGGCATGTCAGCCGGACCCGGCCAAACCAGCCACAAAACTCAGTGCTCAAGCCCAGACCCCAATCCAAATCCAAATGCAGTGACCGACGACCGCAGCTCAAAGTGCAAAGTGCACTTGACAGACAGCCAGCTGCAGCAGCTGGCAAATGTATCTGTGTCTGCAAATGTATCTGCAACTCTGGGCGAGTGCTCCTTGGATCCTTGCCTGCATTTCGAATGGCAATTGCATTTATTATCGCTTCACATCGCTTGCGGTTCAATTAACGCTTACTACTGTCCATTATCGCCGTGTTTTGAGGGCGTTTACCCATCGCCCTTGCAATTCAATTGTCTAGACGAATATCTTGAGGCCCTTTTGCACTCGCTGCCGAGTCGGATGACTCAAGTTAACACTTGCCTTGATTTCTAAATGGATAATTAAGTTCTGCATAGGGATTTCTTATCAGTCCATACATAGGTTGTATTGGCAGTAGAATGTTCTTTGTGTTAATTAAACATAACTATTCATTATGTAATTAAAAAACAGTTAAAATATAGAAATTTTATATATTTGTCATCTGTTTTTTTCTTAGTGTAGAAAATTCATTTCATTCTTAACGGTATAGTGGCGCCCTCTTTATTTATTGCTTTTACCAAGTGGCAGCACAGCCAAAAACATTACCAACGGCTGATCCGAAAAGTATGCAATAAAACGGTTTATATAAGTAAGTCAAATTAAATATGCTACACATTGTGTGCCAATTAGAAGAAACAATCCTGAAAGGATTTATTATGCAAAATTAACATAAAATAACAAAAGATTTAAAAGTGAAAGTTATTCATACGAAGGCTTAGCATTCTAACTTATTTATTCCGAACTACATAGCCAAAATATATAGCCTACACTATCGATACATTCCTATCGATAGCAGTTCCAGTTGGAACTTTCCATGGGAAGCCGAGCAAGTGCATTCCATAGCAGTTGCAGTCTCCAATCAGAAGCCACAACAATCACTTTGATTAACTAAAACTAAGCGATCCGATTAGAATACACCGGCACAATGGAAGATAAGGTTATCGGATCTGAGAGTTGGGTAACCGATTCATTCGGCGGAAAACTACGGAACGATGACAACGTCGTTGGTGCGCATCGGAGTGCTAATCTTGCTGCTGGGGATTCCTCCGTCAATAAGTGCTGGAAATGTTCTGGCCGTTTACCCACACTTCGGTTTTAGCCACTTCAAGGTGGTGATGCCCATACTCAATGAGCTGGCAAATCGTGGACATGACATCACGGTGATCTCGTACGTGAAGAATCCCCAAGCCTCTGCCTTTCCCAACTACGAGGAGCTGCTAATCTCAGCGCCTGATGAGGATCAGTCGAGCACCACGATCAATTTGGTTCCCCTGACGGAGAATACACCCACAAGATCCTTGGGAGTACTGATCCGGGAGTATATAGCCCTGCATGATGAGGGTCAGGAGACCTGTGAGCATCTCTTCGCCAGTGGTCACATAGAAAGGGTAATTGAACGACACCAAAGGAAACCCTATGACCTTCTGCTCACGGAATACTTCAACTCAGATTGCCAACTGGTCTTGGCCAAGTTGTTGAATCTGCCAATTATAGGCTTGAGCACCTGTGCCCTCATGCCCTACTATTACGATCGCATTGATCTGCCGGACACGCCCGCCTTCATACAGTCGGAATTTGTGGGATTTGCTGGCCAACTGAACTGGCACGAACGCTTACTCAACTTTGTTCAGGCCAAGTTATTGAAGTTCCTCTACAAATATCACTCCAATAGGGCTGATAACAAGCTGATCCAAAAGTATATCGGAGTTGAGATTGACGTGGAAGAAGTAGCTCGCACCCAAACTGCTTTCATTTTCGGAAACCAACATTATTCTCTGATGGGAAGTCGCCCGCAATCTTTGCAGTTCGTGGAAATCGGAGGGGTTCATATCACTAAGAAGGCAGAGAAGGAATTACCAGACAGCATCTCTGCTTTCCTCAATCAATCGCAGGAAGGTGTGATCTTCATTAGCTGGGGTTCCATGGTGCGAGCTTCGAGTATCGATGAGGATAAGCTTGCAGCTATATTGGAAGTTCTACATCAACAGCCCTTGAGAATCATCTGGAAATGGGAAGCAGAGGAAACTCCAAAGGCGGATTCCAACAAGTTTCTTTTCGTCAAATGGGCTCCTCAATTGGCTCTTCTTTGTAAGTGGTCACCCTTAAACCAGTTTTAGTAACTAGATAAGGGTCATTTACATTTTAAATTTGATTCCATTTCAGGTCACCCAAAAGTAAAGCTGTTTTGGTCCCATGGCGGCTTACTGGGAACCACGGAGTCTGTTCACTGTGGCAAGCCCCTGCTAATCACGCCCATCTATGGAGACCAATTCCTAAATGCATTTTCCGTGCAAAATCGAGGGATGGGCTTAAAGTTGGATTACGAAGAGATCACTACTCCGAACTTAAATAGAGCTTTCACCGAGCTTAGCAAAACGAGGTAAGTACCAAATAAGCTCTAAAGAAAAATAAGTTTTTTAAGCCTTTTCTATTTCCAGTTACGCCCAACGTTCCCTTCTGGTCTCGAAGATCTTTAACGAACGTCAGAAAACGCCTATGGAATCGGCGGTTTGGTCTGTGGAGCATGTCATTGAAAACGGCCTAGTTGCCGCCGAACTCCTTCAATCCCCAGGCATAGAACTAAGTGCAGTCGTCTACCACTCCGTGGATAGCATTGTCTTGCTCTCGATTCCCTTAATTCTTCTGATCATAATCTTAAGTTTCTTGTGCAGGAGAAACCCTTCTAAGCCAGCCAATAAGAAACTTGTCAAGAAGCCAAAGAGGTCTTAAGGCCTCACGAGTCTACTAGATTTACGTATGACAATTTCTTTAAGAATAAATATATTTTAAGCATAGTTAAAGTGGTTCTTAGTAGCGCAGACGTTGCATGCAGTCCCTGCGACACTCCTCGAAGGTGAGGAAATTGTTCTCAGTGGAGGCGCAACCCGTGTAGTAGAAGCTCTCGCAGTTTCCGGTCTGCTTGTTGTAGGCATATCGCAGTTGGCGACCTCGACAAAGGCCAGGTGCCTTTGGCTGTCTACAAGCTGGAAAATCAATAATGTAAAAGTATAAAATACCAAATTTTAGAAATAACTCACCTATTATCTGCTCAATCTGGTCATGCGTCCGATTTTCCAAATTAGGAAGTCCCAAGGTGAGACCTGCTACCAGAAGCAACAACAGCCAAAGTTGCCTCCAGCTCATAAGCATTGCCATTTCGTTCAACACATTAAAATATTCTAAGACTTGCAAAAAATATATAAACTAAATACCAAAAACACTTTCGTTTTCCAACTTGGAGCTTCAGTTTTCCGTTGTGATCTGCACTAACGTCGACCACAGAATGTTCTCATTCAATTTGTCTGGCATTTTGACTGATTTTTCTCGGCTTTCTCTGTGTGACGATTCTTCTTCCGTTTGTCACGTACCTAGTTAGTTTTTTGGCCAACTTCGTTTTCATTTCAGCGTTTCCTATTTTTATTGCATATTTCCCACTGCACTCTGGGTCGAGTGAAAACGTGTGCAGAGGGGCAGAAGCGTCAATAGAGGAAGCACCTTGGCTAGGGGCACCTTTGAGTGGCTTGCTGCTACATGATGTAAAACACACTTTTCATTTCATTTTGCACTCAAACAAATTGCAGTTAGATATAGTATCTATTACAACCAAAGAAGTCTATAAAAGTTAAGGCATAAATTTGTTTATTCAATTTCTAACTGTTTTACTTAAAAGAGACAATTAAAGGGCGTTTTACTCGTACAAATAATAGAAATGATGGCTAAGACTAATGAAAGATAGAAGAGAGAGGCTACATAGAAGTTTAACAAAAGTGGTATGACGGAAGATCTGGGTAAGATGTTTCTTTAAAATGTTCTTACAGACTATAAGGCAACCGATTTGTATGCTTTAACAATGATATATATAGTAATAATGTTAATAATATTTAATGGATACAAATAGAAGTAGAATTTATACAATGCACATGGCTAACAGAGCTCTGAATCAGAGTCACGACCTACTTACAAGTTACATCAACTTCAAGCGAACTAGACACATATCCTCATTACAAAATAATAGTTATAAACTCGTTAATAAATTCATTGCGTTGCACATCATGGGTAAAACATCACGGAACCGTCGTATCTACGAATCTCAGAGCTAAGGCGATGGATGAATGTGCTTTTGTGTCGGCCCTTGGCCTTGCGACTGCTACGTTTCTTTGTTTTGGGGCAGCTTTCGATGCGAGCTGCTGACTGTTGCTGTTGGCTTTGGCGTACATATGGCGCACTTAAGATCAATTTCTCCTCTCTTGCTGTCATCTCCTCCGGTACTCTGTAGCAGAAGCGTTTAGAGAGCATCCTAGCCTAGGAAATGGAACCCAACCCCATTTAGAAGTCCTTGTCCCAGCCGGTGACGTCGTCTGGTGGTGGACCCTCTGGATCGGGGGGATAGTCATCAAAGTTCGTTGTGTCTACCACGCTCTTCACGGCGGGCTTTATGGGCGGTTCCAGCGTGCAGTTCTGCAGGCCCCACCAGTAGAAGCCGTCAAACCATCTACGGGGAAAGGAATCATCAAATTAATGTCATTCTTAGATACTTTTTAGGCCAATCTTACTTGTGCTTCTGGATCTCGCTGATTCCCCCACGCTGGTAGCCCAAGCGCTCGGCGGGATTGTCGCGACACAGCTTCTTGATCAGGTTGCTGGCGTTGCGTGTGATATTCCTGGGGAACTCGATGGCATCGATGCCCTTAAGTATGATGTTGTAGGTGCGCATGGGGTCAGAACCGGTAAACGGAGGTGTGCCTAAGAATAATTTAAAGCAAATTTACTAATCTAACTACTAAGGTCGCAATTTTCTTTACTCACCAGTAAGTAGCTCGAACATGAGCACTCCCAGCGACCAGTAATCTGCGCTTATGTCGTGACCCCTGTTGAGAATCACCTCCGGAGCCACGTACTCTGGGGTGCCGCAGAAAGTCCAAGTCTTCCTGCCCGTCTGTAGCTTCTTGGCGAAGCCAAAGTCTACCAGCTTCACATATCCCCGTTCGTTGAGTAGCAGGTTCTCCGGCTTCAGATCCCGGTAGATGATGTTCCGCGAGTGCAGGTAGTCAAAGGCCTCCACCACACAGGCCGTGTAAAAGCGGGTGGTGCTGTCGTCGAAGTTGCCCTTGTCCCGCAGAATAGTCCAGAGCTCGCCGCCCAGGCAGCTCTCCATCAGCATGTACAGATACTTCTTATCCTTAAAGGTCTTGAACAGCTTCACGATGAACTGGCAGTTGGCCTCGCCCATGATCTCCTTCTCGGACATGATGTGCTGCTGTTGTCGCGTTTCCACGATCTGTGACTTCTTCATCTGCTTGAGGGCGAAGGACCTGGAGCTGTCCCCATTGGTTTGGACTAGCTCAACACGACCAAAGCCGCCAACTCCCAGGGTTGCGATAACCCGTAGATCTGTGAGGTTGATGTCTCGGAATTCCTCGTTGATCCTGTAAAGAAATAAGGTTGTTAGTGATGGGATTTGTACTCGAAAAGGTAGAAAACTATAATCAAGATGTCTTTAAGTTCATTTCTTAACAAAATCAACCTTTAATGCTTATTAAAATCAAGAATTATATCATCTTTATGTCGTTTCAATCACTTAATAGCCCAAATCAACTAACATTTCGATTAAACTCTATTTTAATTAGCAGGTTTAAGCTCAATCCTTCCTTTGAATACTAACTACCAGCTAAAGTCAAGTCGAATGTGGTATTTCCGTTTTGCGATCACTTGACTATCAAATAATTATACGTTTCAAAATTAAACAAAATTTGTTTATTTCGAGGTAGTTCGTTGACCTTGTGGCTGGCTGATTAAATTCCTGATTGCTTATCTTGATTCATGTTTTTTCTAATTGTACGCTTACTTTCTGCGCTCCATGGCTCCCTCGTCGTCGTAGCGATGCTTGATCTCGTCCAGATTGGAAATCAGCTGGTTGAAGGTCTCGCGATCGATGACCAGGCAGCTGACTCCATCAGCAGACTCGCAAATTATGTTCGCCGTGCGCAGATCGTCGCTAAATTAATATTATTAATTAGTTTTGGGATTTAATTGAGTTTTCTAATTGAAAAACTTACCCCTGGAGAGCCTTTTCTCCGAAGAAGTCGCCCTTGCCCAGCATGCGGATGAACTTCTCCTCCTGCGTGTCCTGTTGCTTGATCGTCACCCGCACCTTGCCCTTCGAGATGATGAAGAAGGTATCACCTCTGGCGCCCTGACGCACTATGTAGTCGCCTCGCTGGTAGTGCGTCTCCTCCAAGACATCGGAGATCTTGATGAGCGTGTCATCCGCCAGGTCTTTGAAGATTGGCACACTGGCGGAAGATAGTAAAACCAAAAATTGTTAGTTTCATTCGATATAATCTCCGTGGTTGGCCAAAGAAAGTGCAGTAATTAGTGGCCGAGCCCGGTTCGATCTAGATAAGAGAATTCCTCAGTTATGAGAAATCTATTGCTGACCTACATCGATTTTCCAGCCATAGCTGAAAGTGGCACCTGAACTCCTCCCATTCTGTTTTTCCCTCAGGCTGGAGTTTTTCACATATCTTTTATCTACACTCAACGAAATCTGAAATTTCTGTAAGTTTTTATCTAAGTTTTAAGAGTTAGCCAAGTTTCTCCTGATTTTATAAGAGGAAAGCAGAGATGGGGTTTTTTAATACTTTTAAATGATGTATCTTTGTAATAAACCTTTTATATATCGTATAAAGATCATTAAAGAGTTTTCTAATAGATGCATATAACATTTTCTCCCCCTGTAGACCATGATAATCGAACCTCTACTCCTCCCATTCTGTTTTTCCCGCTGGCTAGCATTTCTTTAGTGAAGGCCCACATGTATCTGGAATCTATAGCTGCATTTTGAACTGCAGTGGCAGTTGCAGCTGCAGTATCTGTATCTGAATCTCTCATCGTCGTCATCATCATCATCAGCCCCTTGCACTTTCATTTTCTAGCCGCTTTTTCCGCTACTTCTCGAATCTGGAATAGGCAACGAGTGCATGGACGGGGCCTCGATTATGGTTTTTAGCAGTTTTTACGGACGACCAATTAAACGCGATTAATTTGCCGGTCACTCCGGGAAGGGGCGAGCGGAGATGGTGGAAGTGGGACTGGAAGCTGATGGCTGCACTGCAGACTTGGCCAAAAAACTGGTTGCCATGGCCATTTGAAAAGAAATTTCTATGCGTTCGTTGGCCGCAGCTTGAAGTTTAGCTGAAGTGAGTTTTCAGTTTTTAGTTTGAGTTTTTAGTTTGAGCCATTGCACGTCATATGGACGCCCATGACCATGACGATGACGAGATGGCCATAATGTTGGATTCGATCTGAAGAGATGCGATGCCGCCGTTGGAGCCGGCGGAGAAAGTTACCTTACTGTATTCGACAAACCTTGCACGATTTGAAAACACAAATCGACCGGGACGAGAAAAAATCCTTTAGCTAAGCGGTTTTTACATTTGCCATTATAAAGTAATGGCCATACACGATGTGCTCTGCGGAATTGATATAATTAAGTGCAAATGAACATTAATTACGCCCAAATTGCAAATAACCAGTCGGCCCCATCCCGCTAACAAATCGCCACAGGCTCAGCGCCTCATTAAAATTCACATTAAATCGGAGATTGGCGAATCGCAATGGGGAAGTCTGGTCTTGGAGAGGCATGCCCAGAGGTGGTAGTGGAGGCAGTTGAGGCAAAGGCTGTTGGCCAAAAAGGAAAGCGGCTGGAGAGGGCTACTCACCTCTTGAGGAAGTCGCTGTACTCCGCCTGTCGGATGAGGCCCGTTCGCATCATGATGGTCTGGAAGCACTGGCGCTCGATGGCCCAAAGGTTGCACTCCGTGATGGCGGTAATCGTCGCCGTTCTCTGACAGTTGTACAGGATCGCCAGTTCGCCCAGGACCTTTGCCCCCGAGAGGGTGGAGAGGTACTTGCCCTCGCGGGAAACCTCCACGCGTCCATCTGTGGAGAAAGTTATGCAATTACGAAGCTGAATAAGAAAGGTTTAGGTTTTAGTTCCACCCTATATCCTCTATAATAGTGCTTAGATCTAATCTTATATGGGCTAATCAGTCTACCAATTCTTACCCTTGTCTGCTTCTTCCTCCTGCCCCCCACCCGATTGCTCTTTGAGATTCCCCGTCCTCCGCCGCCTGGCGTATGTGTGGACGGGTACGATGAGACGAGGTCGTGGGATACAGAATCCCTCCCCGTTGAGATCCTTGGAACTGCCATTGCTGCTGGCAGCGGGCGAGATTTGTCGCTGTTCGTTGAGCGGACTCTTCTGGCGAATGTCCTTCTCCTCCTCCAGTTTGAGTTCCTTCATGGCCTGCTCGAGGCTATGACGCCGCAGAGATGCCGTGGAGTCCTTCGACTGAGCTGTACTTCTGCTGAGAGAAGTCGATTGGTTGGGCATCCTAATAGTGGCATATCTCTGGACAGAAGTTTGAGATCTGGCCAGGGGCTTCGATACCCTCTTGGGTGGCTCGGGAGGCGGCTCTCTGGGTGGCGGGACCATCAGTCTCTGTGGCTGCTGGCAGATCACTACTTGATCCGTAGAGTCCTCGGCAGCGGAGGAGAATGTAGAGTAGGCGGAGGAACTGTTGCTGAGATTTTGGGATTTACTGGAGATTTTGTGGGGTGACCGCAAGGTGGCATAGCTGGGCGGTTGAGACATGGTCTGGGAGCGACGCAGGGAGGGAGGCTTCACCGAGAGCTGTTGTCGTGGGCGAGGAACCTTCGGTCTCTCCGTGGGATCCAGGACATAATGATTAACTGCAGGTTGTTCTGGGCCATTGGCCAACTTGTCTTTTCCCTCCTCGGATTCTTCGATTTCCGGATCCTCCACCACCCAACCATTGTCCATCTGCTGCTGCTGATGATGCTGCAGTGCCGACGGTCTATAGCCGTTCAGTTCCTTGATGGTAGTCACTATGCGTTTGTCCCTCGACTGCTGCTCCAACTGGCGGATGCTCTCCAGGGTCATCTGGTACTTGCTCAGGGCGGAGATTCCCTCGATGAGGAAACTACTGCCGGCGGAACTGGCCTGCCTGGTCAGCTTGGTGCCGGTGGTTGCCGGCGCCGGCTGATTCGCCGCCCTCAGCCAATTGGCCTCGTACAGGGCACCCATGGCACTGCTGCCCTCCAGGGAGAGGCTCGCGTCGACGGCTTTGCCCGGATAATGTTTGATTTTCATTACGAAAGAAAGATTTCACTTGACCAGCTGCAGCGACGTGCTTTGTTTTTTCCTCACTTTAGTTTGTGTTTTTATGAATGTTTATTGTTGACTTTTCGGGGCTCTTTTGCATAACCCAAGCTCTGAAATTTCGCGCACGGAATATTTGAAGAGTCACTGGGAATGGGCGACGGCGATGGCTATGGCGATGCCTACGGATTTGAGGCCTGAAGTTGGTAACAAAATAACATAATGTATTTGTTATTTATATTGCAAAAGGCACATTGGTTGGCTGTTGTTTCAGTTGCTGTTGCTGTTGCCGTTTCTGCCGTTGCCGATGTTGTAAACTTTCCATGTTTTCGCGACTTGGCTCACGTTTGTGCATTGATTTTGTTTATGGCCAGTTAATCTACCATCTTTGACAGGCACGCAGCACAGTGGTGGGCAGAACCATAGTAGTAAATGGGAATGGTAATGTCAAAGATTGCCGTTAAACAGAAAAAGTATCTTTTTACCCACGCCAGAGTGTGAAAAACTACTTAAATCCTACAACGTCGTATTTCTTCTTCTGACGGTTTTTCCTATTAACTTGACCACAACTGTGACCTGAAAAACCACAAATCTTTACCGGATTTGGGGAATTACGCACCGAACCTCCCTGCAACCATAAAGTATACTCGAACCAGAGCAATTAGCCGAAGTTGCAAATTAATTTCGGGCAATTGGTAAGAGCGTGTGAATGAGCGAGTCTCGCCTGGTTTTCCGCTGGCGAATGCATCGAAAGCTTAATCATCGGCAAATTAGCCAATTGTGAATGAAAGTGGGCGACGCGGCCAAGGGGAAGTGACAATTGGCTGGCGATATTGCCAAAGGTAAACAATAACAAAGTTCGACAATCAAAAGTGACGTACTGCCCGACCTAGAGATACCCAAAGTAAGCCCAGTGACCATCGGTGCTGGGCTCGAAAATGGAGCGTGACTCTGAAATGGAAGGGAGTCGTTAGCTCGGAGGGATTTCCAAACCATTGTTGATCCATTGACGCTAATTGATCTGGCAAACTGACGTGAGTGATCTGTAAGTCAACTTGCTGTGTGTTTTATGAGTCAGTCCGAAGGGGCGTGTTCAAGATCTGCGGGTGATCTCAGGCAAATATTTACATAATTGGGGAGATTATTTGATATTCATTGAGCATTTGCTTGTCTCGAAAATATATGCAGAGTAAATTAGAAAGTCTGGAACTCTGGGATAGGGTGTGTCCAAATATTCTACTGTATCAGCAGAACTTTGATTATCAGATAGAATATCTCAGAAACCGAATGCCTGACTAATTCTCTTTAGCTTTTGCTTTGCAGTTCCCCCATAAAAGAACCTATCATGGTATAGCAATGTACTTTTCTGTTCCCACCTCATAATTCACTCTACTGAATTCCACACCATCTGCGATCCAATTGAAAAGACTCAATTGTCACGACTACGCACAATCGGAAACGGAGACTAAACAAACACAGGCGACAAACGACAGCCGACAACCGACAAGCTACAATCGGCAATTACGAGCAAACAATGATCGCTGGCAGCGCCTTGAACATGACCAATCAAACAGTAAACAAAAGTGCTGTTGAACTATTCTGGTAACTAATAGCACATAAATTACCGAGCACACAGATATTTATTTGCGTAAGAGCAGCGGGCGAGATAAATAGAGAGACCTGAGACCCGACACCCAACACCTCGTTATCACTACGTGGTTTTCCGTGTGAGAACAACTCGTGCCTTGGCTTTTTCGAGTGATAAGGGGACAAGCAAACAGCAAACGGCTGAGATTGCAGGCCGAAAAACAACAACAGTTTTCCATATTTAAAGTTAAACGTGAAGGGGCAACATTTTCCTGAAATTAAGTGTGGAAAGTTATGAGCTCCACGAGTTCAGAGGGGTCGAGGCTGAGCTGGCTCTTTAAAATGCGGAAATCCGTCAGGCCCAGCTGATCAGCACAGACAAACGAGCAAACAAACGAACAAAAATTAAAAAACTGAAATATGTTTACAAATTGAAACTGCAGACATTTTGCAACTTTGCCCAGAGACTGGCTTCGGGTATTAATGGTTGTTGGTTTGTCGGGCCGGGTGTTGGCAAGGTCAGCCAGTGTCTGATTCGCCGATTTGAATACAATCGCAGAGCCAAGGGGGGAGAGAGACAAGAATTCGCTTAAAACCACTTTGCCATTCTGCACTGGGGGAAATCGAAGCTTATATAATAGCTAAGCTATCATTACTTAGTCCTAGGAAACTATTAATTTTTATTTGATTTAATAGCCATGAGAAAATATCTCACGAAACTATGTTAATTTTGAATATTATTTCAAGCAAAGCTGTCATTTAAGATTAAACATAACATTAACATAAAGTTAATGGGTATTTCTCTCTGTGCACTGCTCTGCTACTTGCCTCTTTTGAGGCTGCTATTTATAGAAGTTAACGGATCTCCAGAGCAGGGTTTTTGAAGCCTCGATTAAGGCGAAGTTAGTCACAGACTTTGGCTTGTATGCCAAGGGCAGCGGATTCGAAGTTGGAGTTGGATTCGGATTCAGATCGAGTCCGAGTCAGAGTTGCTTTTGGTTTTGCATGACAGCTCGTAATTATACACACAAAAAGTGGGTTTACTTTTTGGTCCGCCCTTTTGACTGACAATTATGGCAAGACGAAAACCAAAAGCCAATGTCTTAGTCACTGTCTTTGGATTATTTCTGGTTTTGGCCAACCTGACCGCATTTTGGCACACACGCTGGCTTGTAAATCGTCATAATAAATATTTGTGACCAGAGCTCAGTCTCAGTCATGTCTCTTTTGTTTGTCTATGCTAATGAAAGTCGTTTATAAAGAAAGTTATAGAAAACGGACGATCGAGGGAGGAAAGATCGGAGGGACGAAAGAGCTTTTGTGTATTCAGTTTAGATTGTAGTCAAGCAAGATCGAGAGGGGATCGAGAATCAGCTTTATATATAATGGAAAACAGCGATGAAGCTGACAAACGAGATTCCGAAGTGATCTATAAGGTTCTCTGCACTGATTGCGTTCGGAATCCGAGCTCAAGTTACTGATTAAATTGGAAGATCGCCGGGGAATGCCCCACAGATTCTCGAGCTGGTACTTTCTTGCAAGTCTCATTTAATGGGAAATCTACAAACTTCCATAACAAAATATTATGGAAAGATCTTAATGGCCTTGTGCCATCAACTTTCGATTAATCAATATTGAATAGCTTCTGGCATCGCCTTAATTGGTTAATTAAGCTCTTCTCTACAAAAATATCAGAAAGAAAAGCGAAAAAGTATAGAAAATCTTTGAATAACAAAAGACTGTACATATTTAAATTGGAAAATTGTTTGCTGTTTGTTGAATATTTTTATATCAGCCTGTTAAACATTAAAAGCGAATTGGTTCCACATGTTTTGGCTCAGAAAATTGCATCCGTCGGACCATAATTTTCCATAATGCCAAGTAGCTGGTGTTCCACATGCTTGAGATCGATCGCAAATACTATAATTTTGACCAATTCAGCCCTAAATTTCCCAATGATCTTGTGATCCACTTCCCGCCAGCAATTATTTTCCACTTTTCATCTATTACTCAATTCCATTCGAGCGCCCAAGCGAAGCCAGTTCATTTGGCATGTCAAAAGGCGAATGCAAAACCCGTTGGGTTACTTAAAAGTGAGAGTGCCCCTCGGTTCCGAGCCCCCAAAGTCCCCGGAATCTCCGAGCTCCGACCGGTCGCTGAGTCTGAGTCTGATTCCCCACTCAACCAACTAAGTATCCACCGAGTTAAGTTGGGAAAACGACAAAAGAAGTCAAATGACAGGTGGAGACCCGGTTCCAGCAGGGCATGACATTAGCACAGATGCTTCTGCCTCCCCAGCGCGAAGATCGTTATCTTTTTGTCAGCCTTTCGGCTGGAATTTCACACGATTTCTAAGTTTTGGGGTTTTTGTTTCATGTTCCTAGCAATTTTCAATTCAATTTTCCACATTCTACCGCAGTTCAGTTGAATTTCTTACATTTTCGGCGGCTATCAGATTCTCTCCGCGATTTATGTTCTCACATTCTTGCACGATCGAATCGGAGTAGTGACATTTGGCATTATACAGTTTGGCCAGAAATAAAACCTTTATAATATCTGTATTTCTACACCATTATTGCCGTTTTTTTCGGCTTTATTTCGGACCAATGACCGAGGCAAAATACAAATACAAATCAACGGAGCAGCAACAGCAACAGCAATGAAATAACAACATCAGCTGCAAAGGAAACCACAAACCGGAATTCTTCAAGTGATCTTTCGTTCAATTCGAGAAAAAGAGCCAGATCCAAGTCAGTCCCCGTACTTTTGTCTCTGTTCCTCTTACTGCTGATGCTTACTGTAGACTGTGGGCGTTTAGTGTTTTTCCTTAATACAACTATTTAAACAATTCACTTTCACTTTTAATTCACTCCATTCCAAGAATTTACGAGTTACGAGCAGTTCAAAGCGACTATCGCGGATCGTTTGCTGATGTCTTTCATCATAATTACAGACCCGACAAAAACCCGAGCATGGGAAAACTGTGTGGTTTTGTTTACTTGTTATTTAGAACAGCAACTAGAGCTATTTATGTAAGCATTGTTGGGAATAGCGCGAAGGCACATGCGAGATGCATTGTAATTGTCCGGTATGTGGGTTTTATTATTATTTCTCCGCCGATTGCCATATGCAAAAAGGGAATTAAACCGTTGAACACACACGATCTACAGATCGGAAATCACGACACCCGAATCGAAGAAGTCGCGAAACACGAAGTTGGCAGTTTTTCGAACAGTTCTCCGTTTTTCTTGTAGGTAAAATCAAATCCAGGTGCAATTTTCGCAACCGAGCGCGCATGCGCCTCACACGTTTACTCGCTACGCCGCCTGCCGGACGAATGACGAATTTCCCCAAAGATCGCGGAGTATTACTCATTCCAAATGAGCGATCAATGAGAGAGAGAGAGCAGAAAGAGAGCTGCATTTTTTGAAGATAGTGGGAGAGTTTGAGCCGCAGCCCAGCTGGCCACGCTTTGTTTTGTTTGTGGGCGAGAGCGACAGAAATTGGAGGATGTATGTGTGTATGCATACAGCAAAGGAGAGAGAGACCAAGCTAGGCACACATTGGCACACAGGTAAAGAGCTGAACAAAAACAAGTGCTGTGCACAGTGAACAATTTTGCAGAGTAATTACTATTACAAACATGAATGTAAGGCTTAAGAACTGTTTAGGAACATTATCTTTACAAGAAGAAAAAAATCTACACTTTAAACGCTTATTCGTTAGAAATCTGATCTGATCTAATTCTCAACTTATTTATCTCAGTGTAGCTACAGAGTGGCAAAACAGCGAACTTGTTTGGTCATAAGTGACATGCCAATTCGCTACACAAAATCCAAGAACTACAAACGTTATCATGTGGAAGACGTAACAATTCAAAAATGGAACAATGAATTTGCAGAAATATTTATAGATCCTCGAGTCCAGTGACCTCACAGATAGTTGATGAAAACCAAACCAGCACGCATAACCTAATCAAAGCAGAATTGGAATAAAATAAATACTTTGATTTGGTTATCAACTCTAAGTTTTAAAATAGATCAGACATCATGGCCCGAGATAGGAAAGTATAATCAGTGGACTTACTATCTCAAAAATATTTACTCTATATTCGTGGCTTTTCCTGTTATTTCGAGTGCACTTTCAGGGCATTGCGCTGATCAGCAAGGCCGAGACCTTGCATATCTCCTGAACATCTGCTCTTGTGATTTTCGATCATGAGCCATTTCTCTCCTCGAAATATCATATGTGTGAGACTTATGATATATGGACAGATGCCGTGACATCTGTTCGTCGGTTTCGAGTAGCGGACATTGGTGCTTCAGGTTAAGGAAGCGAAAATTGCATACGATGATGTTGCAACTTTGAGGAAGCATCCTCTCCTTCAATTCATCTTGCCACTTGCGAATGCATAATTCGACTGTTGATTATAATCATTATTATTATTACTTTTGTGCGAAAAAACATCACCCGTCTGGCTGCTATTAAAATGCTAATGCTAGTACGTAAATTAAGACGACGACTAAATTAACACGAAAGGCACTCTCAGAACTCAAGCGAAACCGAGCCCAGCTCGAGCAAATATTTAAAGCAACAATTAGCCACGAAGCCCAAGTCAGAAGGCCCGGAGCACACCCAGAAATAAAATGGGTGCAAGCCAAAACCCAGAAAAAACGTGCAACGTACAAAAAAACTATTCAACAAAATGCTAAGCAAATGCGAAAACCGAAAGGAAAACCCGCTTCTTGGCCATTGTTCGTCGCAGTCGACAGTCAGCCGCTGACATTTCGCTGCAAGGCGAGACTCTGAACTTCTCTTCTTCTGGCGGCGTGGGTGTGACTCAGCCCCCTCCCTATATCCCCCTAAAGTCTTCTAGACCGAGTTCCAATCCCAGTCCACAGACGAAGTATTCCACATCTGGCCGAAATGCACACGTGCAGCTGGCCAAACTGAAGGAGTAGCTGCTTATCTGCGGCAACTAGTTGCATGATCTTGGGGGGCAAGGTGATCGGAGATAGGTAAGTTGCGGGATACATACAAATTAAGTAAATTAAGGGAAATTGTGTGGGCGAATCTCTGGGAAGAGTTATGTATCAATAAGTTGCTTAATAATATATGTAATTAAAGTAATTAACACAGAGATAAGTAATGAAACACTTGGTTCTAAGAACAGAACTTAGTTCTATCTATACAATCTATAAAAACGAACACTTAACATATAAGCTAACTTGTCGAGATCGACAATATATTAGGTTGTCAAAAAAGTCTTGCGGTATAATGCGATTTAACTAAATATGCGCCGTTTTGTTTGATGACGCCAACTCGCTTCCCTACCGCAAGACTTTTTTGACAATGATAATTTACATGCATTTTACACCGTTTTGGTTACAACTTAAACACAATTTCGTTGCATACTTTTCGGCTGAAAACACGATATGAAATTTATCTTAAAAGCATCTGTGAAATTCCTCGAAAAAGACAAAGACCCTGTACTTGTAAATTCTTAAATATTTTCTAATAAAAAACTTAATTACTTTCTCACAGAATACACATTTTTAAGAATTACCATCAACAATTTAGTACTTAAACTTAACAAGTCTACGTCTTGAATCTTGAATGAATCCCTTAGATCAAAGTATCTCATAATCATGACTCACCTTCCATAACATAAACAATGCTGCCGACATCGCCCTCCTTAATGATCAGATTCTTGGCTGGATACTTGACCGGGTACATGCAGTCGACGATCTCGCGGATCTGCGTCAGATCCAGGTTCTTCATGAAGTCATTATCCAAAATGGCAGCCTTGATAAGTTCACGGGAGCTGCAAGGCGATATACAAACGCAATTAGTTGTGGATATTAAAATTGGCAAGGCAAAGGCAAGAGTCCAATTAATTTTCCGACTGACACATATAAATCGTTTTATCTGGTTGGCCAGTTTGGCTTACAAGCCATGCAACAAGTTGTGCCACCAAAATTTTGCGACCAATATCGATGGATGTTGGCATGCGCGCAATCGAGCGATATGAAATTAATACAAATTTGAAAATTGTATGCTTGGGCGATGGGAGTGGGGGAGATCGTTGGTCTTGGGGGAGTGGGGTAGATCCATAGACCAGGCCATGCCATGCTATGCCATGTCGGCAATGCCTGTAAATGTCAAATGACTTTATCTGTCAGCGAACTTGACAACTGGCCCGGGCCGGAGAAACAGTAATGGGAATAGAAGCAGTGGATCGGCGGATAAAATTGGAAGCCAGCTCTGAGCTCTGGTGATTAATTAAAGCCAGCCAGAGGACTGACAGTGTGGCCAGCATTTTGTATGATTGAAAAAAGACTAGAAAATTCTGCCAATCATTTTAATATCCATTTAAAAGTTCGATAAAATCAATTAAGTAATAAATAAGATAAAAATAATGAACACCAAAGACTCAAATGTGTAATTTTTATAGTAAAAAAACCATTTAAGGAACTCAAAAAATGGTTTTCATATTAAACCCAAGAAAATGGTCCCATCGATCTGTGGCCAATGATCAAGTTAATGACGAAGGCGGTGCACAGGCTGTCGTCGATGGTTGGGTTGGGGGCCAATTTGTAAGCCTCGTTTTTGGCAGCAATCTGAGTTGGGAGAAACCGCGACTACCTGATTGCCCCAAAACGTGGTGATGAGTTGACTTGGCCCGATGGAGTGAGGAAATTTGGCCAAAAAACGAAAACGAAAAAGACAACTACACCCAGACTCCGACACCTGTGGCGCCCGTTTGGCGAGTATTCATGTATCTTAGCGGTATTTTCGGGTACACTACATAACACTCACAATTAAAATTTAATAAAAAATATTAAAATGAACAAAAATCGATACCCTGGTCACGACGGACCCAGCGGGTCTAGGAAGCGACAATCTGTAATAACATGGATAGTTTTCTGCCATGTGAAGTATTAGATTTCGGCGCCCCAAAACCGAAACGAGTTTCCCTAATGGAGTTGAAACTAAAGAAGAAGGAGGTGCCTACACTTAGAGAAATATCCCATTGATATATCTTAATGGTGTTATAAAGATAATCCGCTCTTACTCCTTACTTTAGACACCAAATCTTTTTTTTTTGTAACTTCCTAACTCATTTTTCCAGTGTAGACGAGTGGCCCGAGGTGGTGGGTCGCTCTGTGGTGTTTGCCCCGTGGGGTTTTGCCAGCGGAGCACTTTTTATACGCCTAAATTAACATTTTCCTTGGCTGCAACACCACGCACATGCGTACCACAATGGCGATGTGGCAAGTTGTGCCCGTGCTGACACCGCATGTGCGAGCCAAAACAATTAATAGCTTCAATTAGACCTACGGGCCGGATCGCTTGAGCGTTCCAGTTGTCGGAAGCTATAACCATTCATATGGCTATATCTGTGCGTAAATTGAATTTGAAATACGAAATGTGTGCCAAGGCATGTACTGCGATTGCCAGCGGCTGCTGCACCTTAGGCCCAGTCAATCCCCAGCCCCCAGAGAGATCTCTTACAGATCCCCGCCATCGTCGATCAATTGCGGGTGCGTTCAGCCTGAGAGCCGCAGGCCAAATTGAAAGTGCAAATACTTAGCGGCTAAGAGCAGTTGACAATAAAAACGGAGTGGAGTCTCGGCCAGGGAATTGAAAATGGAAATTGCGAGTGGAAGGCAGCGCCAATAGAAGCGACAAACCAACTGTTTTGGGTGGGGCTTGATTTTGGTACAATCTATCTATATACCATGTATATCTATGTACCTATAACATGTGTCTTTGTGTGAGGTGGCAATCAAGGCATGTACGTCGAAGGGGAGGAGACTGATCTTTACTTTGGCGAAGTTAAGAGAAAAATTGCAACCAATTTGAAGTTGTCAAACAAATTAGATAATGGCTAGGAGGTAGCTACTGTTAAAAGTGGGAAGTTGGGAAAATTAACAAGAAGTCTCTTTCTAAACCTATAGAATTGGGTAATTTCATGTAATTGTGGGAAATGTTTATGAAGTTACAAAACCTAAAATGAATGTTTAAATTGAGTTTAAATGATTTGCAACCCTACTATAGATTTATTGTTTTCTGAGTTTGGGATATATATATCCATTGATTTATATCCACTAAGATTTATTGCTTTTTATCTGCTAAGTTGTAAATCAAAATGGTGAATCATAAATTGAATTTTAGGTTCAGGTAATATAAGCTAATAATTTGCAAGAAATATCTACCAAAGTATCCCTCTAATTATGCATTCACTGACCCACAAACTGTTTCGTATTTGTCATCCTGACCATGGACACATGTATGTGCAGCATGTAGCAAGTTCTGAAAGACCCCCTGCCAGGGCACGCCACTGCCTGCCTGACACCACCCCCCTAGAAACTTCGCACAATTTTCGTGGCATTATTTATTAGATGGCCCCGTTGAAAGCCAACAAGCGACAGTTGCGTGGTGTAAATGGCCACAAAAGCACCAAGACCAAGCTCAGTCTCAATCCCGATCTTACAGATCTAGCATATATATATTGGCACACACATATACAGCCTAGGTGGAGGCCCACGGCGCTTTTGATTTATGCCATGCAAGTGTCAAAAAATGTCCTGTTGCACACACAAGCGTCGCCGTCGGCACAGATTTTGGTCAGAGATAAAATGGACCTCAATTGGCGGCTCCAAGATCCAGACTATAGCTCCCCCTCTCGCCACCCAAGCTTGGATATAGTCGCCGACCATTAAAATGTTTGAATTGCAATTGAATTTCGCGAGTTTGCCGGCGATATTTTGTGATTGTGTCAACAGCTTGGGGTCATAAAAATGGCCGATTTAAACAAATTTGCGGCATTACTTAGCGTCCGATTCAGATTAAACCGCACCAGCTGCATGTGAATGAATATTAATGGTAATCATATTTATGAGACAAGGAGGTCGAAGAGACTAAATCAATAGAGGAGGTTTCTTAACTAATGATTTGGTAATGATTTGGTAATTACCAGAACTTCTGCTAAGATGACCTTCAAATCTGGATTAAGAAACAAAAACTAACTAAAAGAACAAAAGAGTTGCTATTCTTAGAGGTACCTCCAAGTGTTTTGTCTAAATTTAACCCAAAGTTTTCCACTTTCTATAAAGAACATTAAAAATAGGAAACGGGCAAATGTTTGTTTACGCAAAAATCTAAAAAAAACAATAGAGGATCAGGGAAATATATTTGAAATGGAATTCCGTGGCATAAAATATGGATCTCCCTAATACCACACCAAACATTATAAAACTAAATTATAACCCACAAAAAACTAATAAAAATTAGCATTTTCCACCAGAGATCCTCAGTTTTCCGACAGCGCGTGTCTCCATTTAAATGATCTGCGCGATGGCACATGCCCCGCCGGATTATCGAAAAGTATTCAGGAAACATCCGCACATACCCGGTGAATAAATATTTATGTTTTCTTATGTTTTTCAGCAGACAAAGTGGGGAAAGCTGGCCAAGAGCAACGACTTCCAGTGGCCAGCCAAAGTGTGAAAAGTTAACCGAGCCGACAGCTCCGCCCACGCAATTTCACAGATTTTTAATTTTACACTCTTTTAATTATATAGGTATATAATCTATATTTTATATATTCCCGAGAGACTGCAACGAATTTTGCATGAACAAAAAATACTACAAAAAAGTGCCTAAAAAGTCCCCCGAAAATGATGTGATGCAATGTGGCGCGGGTTTGCTGCCAATTGGCAGCCTCTTTGTGGGCCGCAATTCATATTTGTGGCTCTTATTTATATTCTATCTTTTATATCCGAGTACTGACACTGCCCAAGGCCATCAGGCGGACAGAACTGCGGTGGGTGGTGCAACTAGGCCTGTCACCCCAACTCAATTTTAATAAACGCATTTTGTGGCAGCCGAAACAGGCAATCGCCGACAGTCGACAGGCGACAGGGCGCTGCTCCCAATATTTGATTAAGATCGCAGCAATGACGCCGATTCCGATCGTTATCGCCTGGGCTATATAGCTATATAGCCTCTGTACATCCGTATACCCCGGATCGCTATAATGCAGGGCTAATCGGGGCATGCGATTAGGTTGATCTGATTTAGCTCAGGCAAAGTGTGCAAGGAAGGCCACAGCGTTTTCGATTCTTCTATAAGTACAGTGAAGCCAAAAGAGAACTCCACAGCTATCAATCAAAATAAGAAGAATGATGAACACCACAGAAGAAGATAAGAATGTGAAGATAATCTTTTAAGAATGGAAAAATCTGACTATATAATTAGCAGTTAAATGTATAGTATCACCGCCCGCGCGTTATGTTCTTTGAGATACATTTTGGTAACCACAAAAGTATCTTTTAGATACATTTTTAGCTACCCCCAAAAGTATTTCAACTCACCGCTCATCCTTGTCGTATTTTGGAAAGGTGACGTGCTCGAGGAAAGAGTGAGGACTCGCTCTGAGGCTCGGCGGAGATACCCAGGGCCCTCTGCCTCTGGAAGTTCTGTCCCGATTTGCGGGTGGCACCTGTGGCAGTGCTGGGACCACTGGCCCCACTTCCTCCGCCGCCAGATCCCGATCCACCGCCCGTTCCCGCACATCCCGCCGCACTGCTGCGACTGAAGGGAAAGACGCTCTGGAATTTGTCCAAGTGCGACTTTAGCTCCGCGATCTCGTTGTCCTTAAACTGGAGGGCACGCTGCATCTCCTGGATCTTGAGCTCCTTGGCCTGAATGATCTGGATGAAGCGCTCCTCCTGCGGCGAGGCAGCCACATAGTTGCTGACTATGAAGTTTGGATCCACCAGACCCACCGGCGAGGGGGTGGCCGATCCACCCGAACCGCTGGGCGTGCATCCGGAGATCCTCAAGCCCTGCATCTGCTGCTGAAGGTTCAGCGAGTTGGGCGGCTGCAGTTGGGTGGGCGATTGGCAAGTGGCTCCGGGTATAGCCACCGGCTGACTTGATCCTGGACTGGGCTGGTGGTACAGAACCGGACTGCCCTGGCTAGTGTACAGACCCTGGGTCTGAGCCTGGAGCTGCTGCAACTGCTGATAGCGCTGCTGCAACTGCAGCTCCTGCTGGTGTAACAGGCTCCTGGGGTCCTGATTCAGCTGCTGGGCTCCCGAGGGCGGTGTTCCGTAGATCAGGGTGTGGGTCAGCACATCCGAGTGGGTAGGGGGTGCTGGTATCAGCCGCAGACCCGATGCCGTGTGCTCCAGACCTATGAGACCACCAGCCGCCGGCAAGGTCACAATGCCACCCACCAAATTGTTGTTATTATTATTGTTGTTGTTGTTGGGTCCGCTCGGGTGGGCGTTTGTGTTGTTATTATTGACGATGCTCACCAGACCCAAGTCAGTTGGGAACTGATAGTTGGCGTTCGGCTCCTGCTGCATGCTGGCCGCTTTTCGTACCGCCTCCGTAGATTTCGATTCGGCTCTCCTCTTCGTGCTCAGATTGCGATCTTCGGCACTGCTGTGCCGGCGATAGCGCTGCTGTATCTGTATCTGTACAGTGGTAGTAGGCAGAGGAGGAGGTGGAGGTATCTCTATGTGTAGCTGTGAATGTGGCTGTGCGGGTTCTATGTGCTCTGTGATGTCCGGTGGCTTGGCCTCGGTCCTCGTGTCTCTATCTCTGTCCCTCTCCCAGTCCCGATCGATTATCGCCGGCTGCAGCTTCTGGTACTCGGCGTAGAACAGATTAGTGGCTGGCTGCTGCGGCGGTGCTGTGGTGGCTGAGGATGAGGCAGTGGCTACGTCTGCATCCGCTGGTGGTGCATCTACAGTGGTGCAGTGGGGTGCATTCCTAGTGGAGTTTTGGGCTGGCCGCTTGGTTGCGAAGCACAGCCGATCAAAGCAGAACCGCATCCAGGCGGCTTTCCTGATCAACCGCCGCCACGGAGAACGTAATCACCCAGAAGTTAGGAGCCCTGGGAAAACACAAACCACAAGCTTGATAAGTGAAATGAATAATAAATATGGCAAAACAATATGTAACTAATTTTCCATTGGAAGTGATAGCATAGCAGTACTGTGAGCATGAATCACTGTGGGAGAGAGTGTCAATCTGGTTGTCAGGGAATCTAATCGCTGGCTAATCAGTCGGACTGAACTGATTTATGATCGATGGGCTAACTCGATTGCTGAATGGACTATTTATGCGGGGAAATTCGCGGCAATGGCAACAAAGCTTTTGCACTGAGAGAAATTACTATGTTAAAGCGATATTTATGAACAAATAACCAGTCTCTACATTCTCTGCCACCCATTCCCATGACTGGCGGCAATTATCACCATATCAAACCGAATTCGGTTATCATTTCCCTTGGATACACAACTTGCTGGACGACTTGGCAATGTCTTCGCCGCTCGCTGTCTCTTTTTTCGGGGGACGACACGCCTTAAGCCCTTCAAGATAAGACACTCGACAGTTTGTCGACGCTCTGTGAAAGAATTTCAAATATCAAAAAACCGAGCTGGCACATTTCTTCATATTAGCTTTTTCGTGTTGGCTGTGCCATTGTTCTCGGACACGTTTAGACAATACATCAAGTGGAATGAGCGGGGCTAAAAATAGACCTGGCCAAAGTTAAACATGGCCTGGCCAACTTATAAACTTAGAAACTTATAAACAAAGCACACGAGAACCCTGTAAACAAGTGTGGCGGGTTTCGGTTGCCACTCTGCGAGCGATATAAAGGTGATCGTGGTAAGATCAGCCGAAACTCACGAGTGGGATGATCACTTGGGTACAGAGCGGGGAAAGTGAAGATCAGCCACCCAAATTATATTGCGGTTAAGCATGCCTAAAGCTCAGAACAAGCTGTTTAACAAGATCAACTAGTAAAGTCAAAACGGAAACACCTTTTAAGAGTCTGTGTAAGAGTTGGGCGATAGCAGCACTAAACAGTTATTCTTTTGACTGTGCGTCTTGTTTTGACCAAGCTAGAGCTTAAAAGCCGCAAATAATATTGAAAATTTCTGTCAGAAATTGGATTTTTGACTTTTTAGGCATTTAATGGGCACTTGCACAAAAAAAGGGCGAGCAATAATATTAAATGTAAGTATAAAGTTTCAGATTTCGGTAGTTCGCTGCATAAAACAGTCATTGTTTTAGCCGTGCTGCTTCTTTTGACAAAGCTACAGCTAAGAAACTGGAATTTTGGGCGCAAAAAATCAGTTTTCTTGCAATAGCACAGCCGTTAATGGTTCAACTGTTGAATGTAATACCTCATACGGCTCGTAATTGGATTGCTATGATTCCCAATTGGTTTGCATTCAAACCTGGGAAACTTTAATTTTTTCCATTTTTCGAAAATTTTGATGATGGTACCCCTTATCAAAAATGCGAAATTCAGGCAAAAATTTGTTTTCTCAAAATCGAAAATCGAGTGATAGGGATGCTTAGTTTTGGTCGTTAGCATCACAAAACAGTCGTTCTTTTGGCTGTGAGTCTTGTTTTCATAAAATTATAGCTTGAAAACCTCAATAATATTGAAAATTTCTTTCAGAAATTGGTTTTTTGATTTCTTAGCCAGTAAATCAGCACTCGCACCGAAAAAGTCCGACCAATAATGTTAAAAGTAAGTATAGGGGTTTTAAGCTTCGGTAGTCCGATGCATAGAACAGTCATTATTCTAGCCGTACCACTTTATTTAACAAAGTAACAGCTAAGAAACTGGAAAAATCCGCGCTCTCTTCCTGCCAAAAAACGTATACTTGATTTTGGGCGCAAAAAATCAGTTTTCTTGCCATAGCACAGCCAATAATGGTCCAAATGCGGAATGTAATACCTCATACGGCTCGTAATTCCATTGCCTTGATTCCCAATTGGTTTACATTCATATCTGGGAAACTTTAATTTTTTCCATTTTTCGTAAATTTTGATGATGTACCCCTTACAAAAATGAAAAATCGAAAATCGAGTGATAGGGGTGGTAAGTGTTGGTCGTTAGCAGCACAAAACAGTCGTTCTTTTGGCTGTGCGTCTTGTTTTGACCGAGTTGAAGCTACTTATAGATAAGATCATGCAAAGCTAAGCTTGTCTAAATCTCTATTGAAGTTTATGGACCGTTTAAAGTGTCTTTTAAGGCTAGCATCTTCTCAATCTAACAAGCAATACATAAATTAAACATATTAAGGCATAATGAAATCACAAACCATAAGACAAATTGGAGTCATCAAAATATTTAATTCATTCGCAGATATGACCATATTTTATAGCCATAACCACGATGACTGCTTAATATGTTCGCCAATAATAAAATCTTCACCAAAAAACCAAGCACAGATCCGTTTAGAAACCCGTTCAAGTCGAGATAGTTATCCGCAGATCGCAAATCAGCAATCATTTGTTCAAGTAGCCCGCCGCCACCTTGGAGCTGGGCTCATCCGCCAGACTCTTGACTTCGATTACAGCAGAAACGATCGTTTTAGACGGATCAGACATTAGCATGTTAATGATCGCACAGCGGATTAATGGGCGATTCGTATGCCGTGCTATTTAAGTGCCGGCACTCCATAAACAATGCCAAACGACATTGAGGTGGGGGAGTTGGGTGGCCTGGAACGGAACCCGAGACGGATGCCCCCGAAGTGCGGGCAATTAGCGATCTGTAATTACCCGCAAATTTGCTAAATGCAATTCCAGAACCCAACACACCGAAATAGTGAAAAACTGACACAACAAATTGAGACAATTAAGGAAGGAATCGTCGTCGTCTGTGGGTACTTTTATTTATAGAACACAATTGACGGGCCACTCAAAGCCATCTTTGTCTGTTTGGCTGTTGGGCTGATGGGTTTTCAATGAATTCTCCGCTCGTGATCAGAGGCAGCTTTTGGGCCACTTAAGCGCAATTACGACTGCAATTTGTTTCCATCTCGGGCGCATAAATAAGCCACAGACAGACATGGCGTATACGTAATATTTTAAACGTTTTTATGCTTTTATTGTCATTTAAATACCCCCTCGTTCAGGTGGCAACTCTGGCCAGCAGCCAACAGGTTCTCGCTTAATTTTAATTAGTATTATGAAAACATTTATTAAACGGCAACGAGAAACTCGAAATCTTTCAAATGTCAACTCGGTTTGGCTGGAGGGTATTAACATCGCGATCGATCGCGAGTTCATTCATGCCTCTGATAACAGGCCAAAGCCGACTCCAACACACATGTGTCTAAAGATATATAAGTGTATATATTGCTCATATATAATGAGTAATTGCAGGGAGCTTCTCGGATCACCATTTAGGGAAGTTCTGGGGTCCGGCGTGACTGGCCATGCAAAGTCGCGAGTTGGCAATCGCGAATTCCGAACAGCTCACGACGGCAGATAGCGCAATTAGTGTGTCATTATGATCGGAGATAAGGATACTGGTCAGAGCTGTTGGCCAACAAATTTGCATAGATCGGGATCTGCTGATATGGCAGCAGGGGAGGAGATTGATTCCGAAGATATACTTAGCTGCTGTTAACGTGTTGAGTTAAGTGAACTTCATTTATCTAGCTGGGAAGGAAAGTTCATTGGTAGAGAGTAATGAAAGGGGAAAGATCACACAATCCTTTAATGAAAACTAATCCTTGAATTCTCCAACCCATCAAAGTCAATTCCGATGATCAACATGTAAATCGCTTTCCTCAACTCTCAGCTTGCCCCCTTGGCAAATTGCGATCAACGTCGTCGTCGTCGTCGTCGTCTCTGGCTAATCAAAAGTGACATCTGCGATCATCAGGAGATCCCGAACAGAAATATTTCGAATGTCCCGGCTGTCAATCAGCAAGAGAGAAGCAGGGCGGGGCCAGGGAGGCGACCACATAGGAGTGACAGGCGGAGACAGCATGTTAAACACCGGCAGCAAACGGCAACAAATAGCGACATCAGCTTAATGGGCATGCCAAAAATGCGCCGCATTCGAGTCGTTCAAACATTTAAACATAATTAAGCGGTTAGGCGGGCCCAATGACGATCTTTCCTTCGAATTGAGACATCAATTGAGAGTTATGTCAGCCGTATTTGGGAAAGCCATCTTCTATATAATGTACATATATGTATATACGCCACGAGACTGCTGTAATTATAGGTCTCAATTACTTGCGAGTGCCCGGCGCTTCCTCAAAGTGCGAGCAAACAAACTCACAAGAAGCAGCACCAAATTGAAACAAGAATTCTCCGGATTTCAACTACTATATATATCTATATAAATTGATTCTAAAGGGGAATTCATTCCATTTCACTCGATTCGATTCCATTAACGCCGCTGGCGTGCAATTATTCGAGTTATTTTCAGTCTCAATTTTCGACTTTTCAACGTTGCACAAACAATCAATAAAAATGTAATAAAAATTCAAATTGAATTGCGGGCCTAAGTCGCAAATTTCGCAAGAAGTTTGCTTTCAGAATGACCTGACCCAAGATTTAAGTCCCCTCCAAGCCAAACCAATGTCGAGGATCGTATAAATATATATCGTACATATATAATTTTCAGCTAGTTTCCAGCTCAGCCGTTTTGTTTATCGTTTATTTTTGGCTTACAAATGTTCATTAGTCCCGGCGACACGTCCGTTGATCGATCGCCATGCCGAAGGCAATTGATCGCCTGATAACACTCGAAAGACACTCAGATACGGCCAGACTAGTGGCTCGATTTAGGCGGCTAGTGGGCATTAAGTGAGCTCTATCTACGGATACGGATACCGCATTTTCGCCATGCGAAAGTTGCCGCAACGCAGCCGCACTGCTTGGCATGAAACGCACGTTCAATCAATTAAAACCTTCGCACAGCGGGATTGCGATTCCACTTGGCCTGGCAAAATTCGGAATTGCTCCCATTCCGAGGTGACTCATTGAAGGTTGGGAAAGGGATTACTTGGGGCTTTCTTTGAGTGGCAAAACAGTTGGGAACTAGAAGTGATTTTAAGTGCTATTAAC